CCCCAAAACCCCAAAACCCCATGAACTCTTGATTATTGCAAATTATCACAAAAATTGAAAATTTTATGATCTATTAGGATATAATTAATTATCGTAATTATTGAAATGGAAAACTTAAAAAGAGGATCCGATCCAAAAGTTAAATATGGAGCTGTTTTTCCTTAAGATCTAGTTTCTCCTTCAGCAAAAGATTGATATGCTACATAGCAAACTCATGATGTCAATAATATCAAAGCATAAATTGATGAAGTAATTTAAGAATATGAACGAGAAACTCTCTCTCCGAATAGTGCAGATTTAAATAATTCGAGAAGAATTTTAAGTGCTGCTCTAAAACTAGAATCTTCTAGTACTATGAACGTTAAAGAAGAAGATAATAACTTAGATTAAAATAGATCAAAGTTGAAAGAAAAAGACATAATGTAAATTGTTAAGCAATAGATTAACATCATTTGCCAAGACCCTTTTAATAAAGAGGATTTGACTATAAAAGATAGCTATACAACGTTTAAAGTAAAGGTTTTTGTGAGGATTTTCCTCTATCATATTCTTTATTTTATGTTTCTGGGTCCTTTTTCTTACTTTTTTCTCTGATTATTTGAAACTAAAGAATTTTTATACAATATGGGTTTTAATTTTTGGGGTTAGACTTAATTCTTTCAGATGAGCAACTGGCTTGGTCTTGTAATCCCTTTGATTCTTTACAATTTAAGCGATAAAGATCAATCAATTTTATCTTTTACAGTGTTATTGATAGCCTTTGTTCAAGCATTTCTCAGAAGTTTAGTTATTGCAGTAAGATATGCAACTAGTGTAGACTCTACTATTAGCTGTCTGCGTCACAGAGTCCTTACAAGAGAAGAATATGCTACTGAATGGATTGTTGGTGGATGGATGGACGTAACGCCTGCATAAATTGACAAAGAAATAAAGCACTGCATGGTGAGAAATGAAGTCGAAAATGTGTTCTTCAAATTTAAGTTTCTAAATAAGATCAATGATGACTATAAAAACAGATTTCTTAACTATGAGTATGTTTCTACAAATGTCTATGATCCTAAAAAGGAAAAGATTATGTATGATGCTTTTATCAATATGATGAAGTAGGGTTAAGAATTAGTGACATTAAGGCAGAGCCTTCGCTAAGATTAAATTGTGCAGCAAAGGTCAGATGTCAATATTCATCTCTCTTATCTGGAGACTCCTTCAAAAGAAGATTTATTTACTTACTACCCAGGTAGGTAAGTTTTAAGAGAACTTTTCCTCAATTGTAAGCATATGGTGCCAACAGTACAGCAAAGGTATTTTATTCCCCTATCGGCTATTCATGCTCTTCTGCCTTTGATAATAGAGGCATGCTACGAATTTAGTAATGACGATGAAGAATTTCTGTACAAGAAATATCGATTGATCAATTTCTGGATATATAATGGGATTCTTGTTTATGTTAACATCTTGCTGTTTACAACTAACATTTATTTCTTGTAACTGGGTGTGCAAGATATGAAGAGACGAATGAACGCAATGATATCTTGTGAGGTTTAGCTTGAACCTAATAGATACAAAGTAAGGGATAAATTTAAGGCTTTTCCCCTTATAAATTACTTTGATCCGAAGAGTCTCATGTCATGGATGGATATGAGGATAATGTATCTTGACATGGGATAAAGGTTTTTTGTAAGGTTGAAGTATTTTGCAACAATATTCCTTGTATTTTATAGCATAACAGGTGGTTTGTTGCTTGCTTGGTACTTTGTGCTATTCTAAGAGTATAATGTAAGTATGTCTTTGATTGTGACAATTGCTTTTGAAATAACAGTAATATTTCATATTCTGTATCACATGTTTTATTACGGAGCTAAAATTAATGATATTTCTAATAACCACCTACTTAGATTGAGCGAGATTAAGAGTATACTGGAACGCTTTATGATTGAATGGGATTATTCTATTTCTTCATAAAAAATCAAAGAAGTGCTTTTGAATAATACTTACAAAGAGGCATTTCTCTATTTTTCTTATAAAAATGAAGACGTTGGTTAGAAATGTGGGAAAATGATTATAGAAAACGCTCTGCATGTCTTGGATTCAATTGAAGATAGGCTTGAAAGAGAAATAGAATTTAACCCTATTACGATATTGAGCATTCCATTAAATATGACAATAATAAATGCCATTAGAACATCAACAGTTACCCTTATTTTTTCAATGATAAATATGAAGCTAAATATTATATGAGACCATATATACAAATAGTATCAGATATTTTAAGTTATTCAACTAAATTGATGATAATTATCAAGTGGGGTTTTGGGGTTTTGGGG